ACTGGTACGGAGTAAGCACCGTTCCCTTAAGCGAGCCGCCCGAAAGTTTCGCGGGGTGAAACTTGTTTGTCAAACAAGTTCCAATCCATGCGCCGAGAGATTTTAATGGCTTCGGAAACTCGAGGAGTCTTTTTCAAATCTCGCTGTGTGCCGGGAAGAAGTCGAGCGGCGCGAAGGAATTGCAATCCTCATTTCCATTGAAAACGTAATTCTGTAAATACACCGACCGACCGACCGACCGACTGTACCACAGATTTCGTATCCTTCGATCGATATCACGGGGAAATAAAGCGAAAGTCAGCCCTATAGGTCTCATTCCACTCGAACGGCTTCGTTATTCGAATGCAAATGAAATTGTCTCTCGATATCTGATAACAGGGATACTACGACTGTTAGTAGAGTATTTTGAATTCGAAACTTCGTTATCCCTTCTTTTTTTCAAATAAACATAGCTATGTGTATTTGTTACACAGGGTGTTCTATTTTTATCTGTGAAATATATTTTAATGAGATATATTCAGTAAATGATGATAAGTTATGTTTAGTAATAGATAAATTAATGAATTAATGATAAATTAGTAATAAGATATATTTATTATAGAGTATCACGTTTTTATCTATGAAATATATTTATTAATAAGTAAATGAATAAATTAATGATAGTATATATTTATTGTACAAGATGTTCCATTTTAATTTATAAATGGAATTATGGATCAAATGGATCTTTTTTTGTTTTGAGAGGACAGTAATTTGGTATACTTAGTTTAGGTTTAGGTTATGTAACTTTTTTGCATCTATCGATCCAGCAGGAAACTGCAAAAAAGTGTTAACCTGTATACATCGAAAACCCATCAAAATGGAAAAAATTGCGTTTGAGACATTTTTTAAATCCCGAATAGTTCCTGAATACGAAATTGATCACCTCTCTTTTGTTTTAAATGAATACGACTGCACAGTCGCTGAAAAATATCGAATCGCTTTCATCATTCAGTTTGAAATCAAAAAATAAAAGAACTCCTCTTTTATTAAAACCGATTTTCAAATAAAAATGAAATTCACGTTAATCGTCGCTCGAATCGAGTGCAATCATTTCTATATAATAAAAAGTTAATCTAAATTGTATATTTTTATCAATTCGGTTCATGTAATGTTAATAACAGTATACAGCAATATTAATTTACAAAAATGCATTTTGTTTCACTAGCTTCAGTGCACGTTTAATTTAGTACTAGGAAATTAAAATCTATCATATCACCCTGCGACTAATGTCGTCTCTTATCTTACTTTACAATATGTTATTATACTTTCATTTCGCAAATAGGATTAAAAAAGTAATGGGAAAATACGGAAGATCGTACACGACGATGTCCAATACGTTGGCAGTTAAGAGAAATATAGGTATTAATTTTCTACACTGGAAGTTGCCACAAAACAAAAACTAGAGAAAAGTTTTTAAATTTTCCCTTTAATAGAAAATTAAATAATCATCGCAGAATGTATTCTTCTTCATCGTTATAGGTATAGCTTTAATCTAAACAATATGTGAAATATATAAAATAGTATAACTTTCAAGTAATTTTGATTATTATTGCAAGTTTTCCATGGCCAAAAGAATGTTTGTTATTTCGTGATGCCGCGTCCAATAATAAGGGAATTTACTTTAATCTTCGCACGGCGCATGCAGATTCATTTTGACCCAACTGTGTATACTACAATATCGAAATATATACAAAATTTATATGTCATAATCATACGATACGTACAACTATTTTATGTACTAATTGTTCTTAATAAATATTATATTATATTACATATACTCGGTTGGCAAGAAAGTAATTTCGGTTTTTCAGTGTGAAATAAAACTCAATTTTTAATCTTTTCCAGTTGTAAACAAAATTACACGGAACTTGCTTCTAGAGTAACCTAAAAGTGTCAACACATTGCGTACCGGCTAATTTTCAGAAAACTGGATTCTGCGGATGGCAATTTTCACTGAGGTCGACTTATATCACTATACATAGAAAAACTCAGATATCATATTCTTATGTAATATATTTTAAATAGATAATCAATTCGAATTAAATTTTATTTTTTTTTCAATACTCTGCTAATTAGCGAAGTTGCATAGCTAAGTGTCTTTATATAAAAACGAGATTTCTCGTTACCAGTACACAATGTGTCAACAACCAAATCCCAAAAGAAAAAAATTATAACATTGACAAGAAAATAACGAAACGAGCATAACTCTATCTATTTGTGCAAACAAAAATTACAATGTTATATACATGTTTGTAACATTTCGAACAAATATTCTTTGAACACCGCGAATAACAAATGTGTATGTTACTTTGACCCTACATTCCGCTGCCAACTGTCGAAGCATCCGTCTTCAGAGATTTAAATGTGCAAAGTTAAATGCCAATGAAACACTTTCACAGTACAATCTTAAGAAATTCAAAGATTGGAGTTATTCGATTTGGCCAATGAGTAACTCGCTTATAAAATGACCCGACGTTTCAGAACGAACAGTATAACATTTGATATTTCACCGTGAAAAAACGTTACCTCAGATAGTATACATCAGTTTGCTACATTGAAGGAATACGAAGGGTCTCGCCAGTAACAGATGCTTTTCCCATCGCAAAAGAAAAACGGGGATCCGGTGAATTGGTCTATTCGAGAAACGACGGTCGTAAGAGCGATAGCGTTCGAAGCCTTTTGCTATCATCAGCACGACCGATGTCACTTCTCCGATGATTTATTGCCAGTTCATTTTTATATTTATTTCCCTGCCGGTGTCGTTTCCGCACCCCTTTCCTTCCCTTTACCGCGACCCCTGATCTGGCATTCGTTTTACGATTATTACCTCGCTCGAGGAAAAATATCGTTTTACTTGCTCCAAGATTTATCCGCAGGAAAGAAAGTGATTTGCGAGCAACAATAATACCGCCACGCGAGTAACGGAAGGATGATAAGTTCAGGAAGGATACCTGTTCCCTGGGTCTTAAGTAAGTTTCTTGCGCCTGGGAAGGGATGTTTTTGTTACAAAATATTAGCTCGGTGCATATGAAACGTCGGATTTTGCAGAAAATGCTGAAACGATCTGGTTTCACAAGAAAATTGCTTCTTCTCTGTATCCTTGAACCGAAGGAACTGATTGCATAATACAGAATTATGGAAAGTATGCGTAATTCTTTTATATCATGTCGAAATCAAAACATTTTAAGAATAAGTAAATCTTGTAAAAATTCATCTGAATATCCTGCTATGATGTCAATACAAATGTTTCAACGAAATGTATTCCTTTTCTGAAAAATTCTGAATTCCTAGAATTAATTAATTTTGAAGACAATCGTTATGAACTGTTTCGATTAGCTCAAAGCCACAATAAATTATCTCATAAAATAGAAAATTATTCTCACTGAACCGTTGACTCGATCGAACATAAGATTACTCTTCTTTCACATTCAACAGAACGAACGTGAAATATTCTATAAGAAATTGTATTTCTTACATTTTCTATATTTCAAAAGTAGATATTAATTTTCTCACAAAATCAAAGGTGTCCATGTTACTGTCACGCGAAGTTCAAAAACGTTTAATCGCAAAATTTTCGCGTACTGCCAAGATTGATTATCTAAATTCGAAAAAGGCGAAAGGGACATAAAATTTCTATATTCAAGGTGTACGTCGCGCTTCCGACGTGATAATTTATTACACATGAAAATCATGGATCCCGATTAGGACAGTTTACACAGTACACTCGATAAGCGGTATTGATTCGCTGTGAAAATTGTCCTGCTACGTGGTTTTGTTATCAGAATATTGTACCATCAGGTTGGATAACCTTCCAACATCTACCACCATTATTTCTATGTGTTCGCGTACGATGTGACATCGGAATGATCGAGCGAGGCGATTCGCGGCAACCGAAGGATTTTTGAGGGACGACGAGAACCGGAGATTGAAAAGGTTTCGAAGATAACTGCTTGAAAATTTCATATATCCGACAGAAACAGGTATGGGGAACCGACGTAAAGTCATAACCGTTGTTCGGTAAATCGGTTTTGGTTCAGGTTCGTTAGAACCGACATATTATCGGTCCTATATCGGTTCTATAATTGTTATTTTTCAGTTCTGTACTTTGATCCTGCGTTTCTTTCAAAATCAGAAACTAACAGGTGTAGAACCGACATGAAATTGATTTAGAACCGATTTAAAATCGATCCAAAACGTGGAAAAAATATTATAAGAAACGAACAAACTTTCTGATCCCATAATAAAACGGTTTAAAACAGTTGAACTTTATTATGAAAGTTGCGAAATTTGAGGTAGGCTTGAGAGAATTAAAATAGAAAAAGTTTTCTATCGTTTAAGAAACTTTTACAATTATTATAGAGTGGTTTTCCGTGAATGTGTAGGTAGTAATGTTAATCAAATTCTAAATAAGACAACAGTTGGAAATTATTATACTTCGAAGAAATTTTACTTTGATATTTGGTAGTTTTAATAGTCCGTTTAAATAGTGATAATAAAACAATAATACTCATCGATTTGTAATCAGTACTTCATTCATTCTTAATAACATCAATTGCTTAGAATACACATGAATACAGCCTTATCATTCAAACAATCTACTACATATTACAGCGAACAGACCAATGAAAATTACGCCGACATAAAAAAGTAGGTTAATTAAATATTAAATGTTAAGATGAAATAACACTCAAGTTTATTCAGAAACATCTAGTAATGCCTATATAAAATATCGTGAATTTTGAAATCTGTAAAATTTTCGTTATACAGTTGATACTATTGTTGTGTAAAGATATCTAAACTAATAAAAACAATAAATTTGTTTATTATTTGCTACAAACGAGAATATGTAGTATTAATCGGTAATTTTCAGATTTCCATACTCGGCGATAGAATTCACGTCCACACATAAAAGTTAAGAATACAAAAAGTTATTGCGACAAGTTAACAATAACACTTACTCGGTTAAATTGATCGCAGGATCAAGAAGCAGCGATCGATCTATGCAAACCAGAAACACCAACGACTTCAGTCACTCCGGACAGCTGTTGGCGTCAAGGAAAAGCAAATAGGGTGCACAATTCCCGGCGACTAACAAGAGGTGTTGACGCTTGGTTCTCAAAATCGTAAGAAAATAAATGTAAACAAATCTGCGGTGATTTTACAATCTCACCAAAAGAACACCAAGAAATCCCACAAAGCAAGGACACAATCAGTGTCTCCGATTAGAAAATTTTCGGTCGAAGGATCGGGGAAAAAAGTTCGGTTCCGTCTGTTTCGAGCCGAAAAATTGTGATAAAACAAAATGATCTTATTTAAATTTCGTTCGTTTTCGTTTGAGATTGGAATTGATTGAATTGGTGAACGGAAGCGGACTTCCGGCGTCGATCGGAGCGAATGACAATGGCGGTTGCTCGCGTCGCGGCGCGCTAACAACTGAACGCGTTCGGCCGCTGCTCGGTCGTCACCGTTCGGAGCCGGCAGACCGCGTGGGGTCGCGTGGAGAAGGGCGAAAATGACAACACGGGCTGAGTGAAAGGGTGGCGTGGAAGGACAAGGAAAGAAGGCGTCTGATATATTTGGAACCTTTTATAGTTTGGAACAATTTATACAATTGTTTCGAATTTGGACTTTCAAAGTCAATCCTTCACGATTGTATTAATCTTGTATAGATATTAAGTTTATAACTTGTTTTGAAATTTGCAATAATACAATAAACTAGTGAAAGGGTCGCGTGAAGAGATAAGGAAAGAGTGGCTGATGGGAACAACTTATAGAATTTTTTAAAATTTGGACTTTCAAATTAGTCTATAGATAATAATACCAATATGATAATATAATAAATGAATGGCTTGGAATAATAGTGGTCTATGTATTACTTCTGAACTGTTCAGAGAAAATAAGACTAACATTACAAAGATATTAATTATTATTATGTAATCATTCATATTAGAAATTCTTTGGTAGCGATCACTGATGATTATTAATATTAGTAATTAGTCTAACTACTATTACTGAATTGTTAAGAAAAAGAAGCATTTGTTACATGTTTCTGGGTTAATTAAATACTAAAATAAAACTCACTGACTCTGTCTCTTCAACAAACATACCACACAATCGCCGAAAATCAAAACACTCCTGCCTCGTTAAAAAAATAGAATTTCGAATAAAAATAAAATGTACGTTTAGCGCTACTTCAGCTGCGTACAATAATTTTCGAATCATAAAAAGATCATTTGAATTGCAGAATTTTTGTAAATTTAAAGTATTCTATTTGATTTCAATAGAAATACACAGCAATATTAATTTACGTAGAATTTATTCGTTTCTATAAAGTACAATATAACGTTATACCTTAAATGTGGAAGGAATTAGTGAATGGCAGAGAAATGGGAGGATTTTTAATGTAACTTATCGTTATTTGTCTCGACGTTATCCTCGGAAGAGGTTCATTTTCCCTGAAGCGTTTTCATTTCTTCTCTGTCCACCCACTCGAGAACAAGCACATACCCCATCATACCGCGGATTTGGTCAGAGAACCTGGCATAAAATATTTATTTTCTTCCCCCGGGAGACTAACTGCGCGAAGCTGCTGCGTTCAAGACCGGATAACTGAGGGGATAATCAAATAATCTCACCGGGAAATAGCCGCGATAGAATGAAACGAGCAATACAAAATGCCGTAGTAACACTATCTCCGGGTTTTTAAGTGATCTTGGGAGCTAATTGTATGAAAATCCTAATGAACGTGGAAATTTTGAGAACAAAAGTGTGTTCTCTGATTATGGAACTTAACGAAAAGGTACATACAAATTAAATAAAAAATAAATGTACTAACTATATCTGAATTGTAATACAAAATGCTGCAGTAACAGTATCTCCGGATTTTAAAGTGATCTTGGGAGCTAATTGTATGAAAATCCTAATGAACGTGGAAATTTTGAGAACAAAAGTGTGTTCTCTGATTATGGAACTTAACGAAAAGGTACATACAAATTAAATAAAAAATAAATGTACTAATTATATCTGAATTGTAATAATAAATGATAACAGTAACTGTAATTATTAGACTAGAAAGCCTTGTGCACATTAAAAATTTTAAAAACATAATTAGATAAATACAATTATAGTGACAAGTGTTTTTAACGAATATTATAAAAAGTATTATACCTTGAATCTTTTATACATTTTATCACATTATGACTATTGTGCAGAAGGTTATACTTTCAAATTTCTCGTTAATATATGAACATCTTCAATCTAGTAATTATAAAAGAAACTATTGCTCAAGCAATGAAAATTCGGAGAGAGTGAAATGTTACATACATTATGCAAGTACATGATTGCTATTAAAAGACATGCGACGAAATACAGTTTCTGATATTTTCCTGAGAAAATAGTTTATTCTCGAGGGAAAAATGTAAATTTTCGAAGAGTACCTGATTCATATACAATTTGCATAGAAAAATACTGTGAATATAATAATAAAAAAGGAAGTAAATCTATAAAATCGTGAATAACCGTAAACCATCCCAGTTTAATTGTGAATTTTTAGATTCTACATCACTTAATGATTAAAGAAGTTTGATTATACAAAAGGTTTAATGTTCACGCGAAAAAAATGAAAAGAAGTATCGCAATATCACGGAAAGACCTTTGTCTTACGGTACTTCAGACGTTCTCAAGAATAAAGGACATAAAAAAGATATAAAAGTATGGACAAGGAGGAGAATTGTTCGTCTCCACGACGACGAGCTATGAAATTTCCTAAATTTGATTTCTTGGCATTATTTTACGAACATAAAATATTAAATCTCGAATTACACACGTTTCTTTTTTAAAGATTTTTTTAAATATCTCAGATAATAAGAAAATCTGTCTGATTCATTTTGTTTCACAGAAGATATCTTTCTTTTAATATTGTTAAAGTTAACTGTTATGAAAATATGTTTGAAATATTTAAAGCAAGTTCCCCTAACAAATCTTCACAGTTTCTCACAATTTTCCGTTATAAGAACTAATGGACACCCGTTTCAACCCCTTTCCAAGCAGTATCTCAAACAGAAATTAACAAAAGTAAATTTCACTCAATTCTCCTGAATTCAAATTAAATAATATTCATCTATTATCAATTATTATGTTCCAAAGAAAACTTGGATATAGATAATCATTCAATTTTTTTTGTTTCTAGAAAATTATTACCACTAAATGTACTGACGTTTTGTATATACCAATTTCTATCATAATTAGTCAAATAGCTGATTACAAAATAAAGGTAAATAAGGTAGAGGATAATTTTTTCGTCGTGAAAACAGAAAAAGGAAAGACAAGGATTGAAAAACTGATTTATCGATGTAAAATTAAATGAACGCTGAAAAACGCAAAAATTAATTATGAAAGACATCGTAGGAAAGAAGATAATGAATTTTATTAAAAGAATCTTTTTAAAGAATTTACGATACGAATATGTAATCACACGGAAGGTGTCTCCAAATTATGAAATGAAGTATTTTCTTAAATAAACTCTATTTAATGGCTATAACTGGATGATTATTTAATAAATCATATTCAGAGAAATAAATATTTTGTGACTGATGTTCATCCAATTCAGAGAAACACAGAAACTATATCAAACAAAAGGAAACTCTTATCGATTCATAAAACAAACAACGAATGTTCCGAAGATCGGCTCGCATTGAATATTACTGACACCGCGAGCTACAATTTCATTCTCCATTAATCTATGTCGTATCCGCCGCACTTCCATTTCTCATTTTAAAATAATAATCTTTTAGGATACGGCAACCACCTATTAAGGTGAATCCGATTCCGCACAAAGAAGGAACCTTAGATTGCACGGGGAAAGAAAAGAAAGCAGCAACGACAATCGAGTTCCGCGCGGGGAAAGCATTATATAGGACGAAGGAACCTTGTGCATACCCAACTTGAAAGCATAGAGAAACTGTTATACTTTCTATCCTTGGAATAAAGTTTCCCGAGGAAGCTTTCTCTATTTTATACGCGGTCTCCTCACGCCGCACAAACCTCGAGAGGCAACGAGAAAAAAACTTTAATACCAAGAATTTTAAGTTTCCTGTTCCACTTAATTAGTTCTCGCGTAAGCAACGTGTCGCTGTTTTTAAAAAAATTGTAGAGGTTACGTGAAAAGTGTCGATCTGAACAGAGAAAGTGAAGGAACGAAGCATTTATTTTATTGTTATAACTGGATGGTTATTTAATAAATTATACCAAGAGAAATAAATATTTTGTAACAGATAAATTTCACTTTAACCAATTTAGGGGATAAGATACAAAAATAATATTAAACCAAAAATAGGTGACAATTATAAAACAAACAATGGATGTTTTGAATGTTGACGCGCTTTTTGAATATTTCTAACATAAAGATGAATAAAAAAGAATCAGAAATAATATGAACTATGAATTCCGTGCGGGAAATCTTCACTTCAAATTTCTTTTTAAAGATCCAATTTGTCTATTTTTATTTATCTTTTATATTTCTCTTATGTTACTAACTAAATTATACATATATATTAATTATTTATTAATTTTATTATAAATATGTATTATTCCTATTTATATATGTCTAATATTATTTAAAATGTATTATTATAACTGGCTGGGTAACTATAAATTTAATATTTTTTTATATTGATCTAATTTCATTCTGTACACGTTCGTGAACATTTATGTAACGCTCTGTTACAAAACTAATTAGGATATATAAAGCTTCTTGTTTGGAACCGTACCAATTATCAACATCAGTACCCCATCAGCTTAATCAGGAAACATTGATTGAAATTATTTTGAATATAATTTCACACGTGATAATTGTATTCGGTCATGTGCGTGGACGAGTGGAAACAATAATTACAGAGATATAACAATCCAATGAAACAGAATTGCATAGTTGTTCCTTACAATAATCCAAAACAAATCGCGTATGGAGCGAATAACGGTGTTACTCGATGAAGCCTTGGCTTGTAATCACAAATCAACGCGAAGCGTAGCTACGCCCTTCGCTATACTGTATGTCGACCTTTAACCCATTAAGTCCCATGACATTTTTTTTTCAATTTTTAGATGAAATTTTGTATTTCGAGTAATGAGTGTCCGTACTATCTTGGAAAAATAGTAAAACATTTATTCTGGAAACATTTATTTTGCAATTCCAAGTTGCAAAAATGTTAACTTCGCTATTTCAAATTGTGTAAATAATTTCTCGCGGCAGTGCAATCATAGAGCATTTTGTAAATTTTCAAAAGTTTAAATGAAGTATAAATTTTATCTGGAAATAACGTCTGATTCGATTTATTCGTTCTAAATACTAACTAATATTTATCCTAATCATTAGATACATTATTTATTAACAAATAAATTGTCTATAACGATTTAGAGTG